AGTCTCCATCTTCACTGGACTGCTGAGATCTTGGGGCGTTTGACTGGCTTTACGTCCTTCCAGATATGACTTTGTTGTCATGCTTTTGCAAAATTTCAGTTGAAGTGTCTGAGCACACTATCTCTGTTTGAGTTTATGATGGTGGATATTTTTGTTCAAAAGGGTTCACATTACTTTCTTGTATTTTACTGTATAGCTTCAGATTACTTATGAGACGTGGCCAAGGTCATTGGGGAATGAAGGGAAAAGAAGATTGATGTTTGCTGTTATAAGCATAGATTTCTTTGTAATTTCAAATGATCTTCAAATAGTTTATCAAAGTCATCCCAATGAAAAAAAATACATAGTTATTTGAAACAGATGCACAGGCTGAGTAGCTTAAACAAAACTTTGCCTGTGGACATCTGATAACAGTTAGCCGTCAGCAGGCTTAAACAAGGTTTAACGCCTCCTCTCTAAATGTATGCGGCACAGCGCAAAATATCACATTCATCGTATTTGTGCTTTAACAACCTGTCTGAAAGTCTTGTTTTCTGCAGAGATGGCTACTTTTAGGAGGCAGCATTTAATCACTCCTTCTCCACTGAATGTGCATGTCGTAGACCACAGTCACCAGTAATTTGGGCTAATTGTTTAAAGTGTGTTAAGAGCCACTACTTGTCTGTGCCTACGATTCCTTTGCTGTGGTTCAGTGGCTTGTTGCTTTTCTTCTCATTTCTTTTTACATTCTGTGAGGCATGTGTTCTACACCTCACAGTTTGAAGGTTTCTGAAACAAGACGTATTCCTGAAGGTTATCAGCCAGGCTCTTATGATGCCAGAGACCCAGAGTTTATCTCCATGTGTCTGTGTTGAATTTTGTTTCAGATCTAGCACCTTTTCGGTGCCATCAGTAAGAAGTCCCATTTAGATCAGTGTATTCTGCTGCTGCCATCACATTAGCTGTGATATCAACCTATCGGGAGCATACACTGCATTCCTGAAGACAAATGTCACTATTTTCAGCCTCCTTATCCCTCTTTGATGATATGATACAATCGTCTCCACTGTCTTTGGTTTATCTGTTTAGTGGCTCAGTAGATTTATAATAGTGGCTATATATTCAGGGTGAAGAAACGAATTTGTATTGTCTACATTTAGCTGTAACCTTGTGTGTAAATTTATAACTGCTGGAAGCAAGACATGAAATCTTTACAGCCTCCTAGTGTCCAGCAGGAGGTGCCCAGAAGCTGTCATCTGCACAGTTTTTGAGGTAAAAGTAATCAAAGACAATTCATGTTAGATCCAGGGGGCTATTTTCTTTGGTTTCCATTAGCCACAGTTAAAAAAAGGTGTTCAGTGGTGACAAGCAGTTAGAAGTGGGGGTTAAAGTGATGCACAGTGATAAAATCCCAAGAATGAAACAAAACAAAAAAACACATCCTGTGCAGCACACACTGCTAGTGCCAACTTTGTCTCAGCTTTAGCCAAAATGTCTAACTCAAACCTCTGCATCTTTAGCTCTGAAAGGCTGTACTCTAATCACAAGACATATTTAAACACAGAGAAGACAAACCTTTGGAGAGATTCTTGAGGATGTAAAGAGCGAGTCCAATGGCAGGCAGCCCAAGGCTGAAGGTCAGCCAATTCATCACTTTGGCAAAGTGGACATTGGCAGGTGTGGTGGTGTTATCAGTGACATCAGCAATGACATTAGGAGTGAGACTGAGGAGGTCAGGGACAGCTGTTGTCACCATGTTGTTGTCAGCCATAAGAGGCTGCACAGCAGCTCTCAGCTGTTTAGATGATCAAAGAGGTGATGCTGTGAAGGCAGCAGGCTGTAGTGACCACCTACTGCAGCATGCAAAAACACAAGGACAAAATCATTTTTAATGTGCCAGATAAACACATCAGATATGTACATGTGAGCCCTTAAACACAAACCTCAATATAGACGAATAACAGCGCTTAGCTATCCACGATTCTGTCTAAACTATGCACTGAGCTCCCATTTAATTTAATATGAGACCTTTGAACTCTATTTCAATATAAGCACATTTCCTTTTTTAATAAATATATGTCAAATAAATATATATTTGTCATCAAACTGACAGAACATACCAACATGACAGCAGCAGAGAAGCGAGTTAAGTTTAGAGATCGTTTACGAGACAATTCATCCCCACATTTACATAATTTTCTGCTTCCCTGCAGTGCTGCTTGTCCACCCAGAACGTCTGAGTGAGAGTTACCCGGTTTTTTAGATTATAATGGAACTAAATGGTGCATCCTAAAAATGTCCTGAATTCAGAGAAACTGTATTAGACTGTATTTTTTATCATTTTTAATAACTTTCTTCATGTCCTACCTGTGGTGTATGTCGTGTTTACTGCCATGCGTCAAAACCACTTCAGGTGTGATCCCAGCCTTTTTTCCCGATTAAATTCAAAAACTGTTCAAATATTCCGTCTTAAAATGTCAGACACCGTGTGTCTGAGTAACATGTCTGGTATTAAGTCTTCTTGTGAATCTACGTGTCATGGAACTTTTACAAAGCTGTTTATTGCTGCTGTGCTGAGCCTCATGATCTCAACAGAGCTCAGAAAGCTGCTTTGAATGAGGCGTGGATGTGTTCAGCCTCCTCTGCTGGTGTTCGTGTCTGTGACACAGCAGGATGAGAAGATTTGCATTAAAAACTGATATCAGTATAATTTAACAGCCTGTATGTAAACTTTATTTCTGTATGTTTGTGTCACACTATTTTTTATTTCTAAAGGGAGGAGCTTAGATTTTATTTTTTTACCCAGAAGGATTATTTGCATTAAAGAGCTGTTTGTTTTATATCAAATATATGACTCACAGGGGCAAAACAGACCCAAAAACAGGAAGCGCAACAAAAACAAACAAAAAAACCTTCAAATTATTCAGTTTTTTTTATTAAATACTGTAATTCCTAAAATGGTAGTTGTTGTTTTTTTGTTTGTTTGAAATGCTGCCATATTTTCTGCTTTGTTTTTCTAAATGTTCTTTTAGTTGTTGTTGTTTTCGTCTTTTTCTTTGAAGTTCTAAGGCTCAGGGCTATAATCTGGTCAAAAGTGATCAGACAGAACAAATTATTAACCTGCTAAAGTGGTAAATAATGAGTTTTCTCTTTCTAAAACTGATCTGATAGAAGACCTAAAACAAAACTTTTCACATGCGCTAAATAACAATAAATGGAATCTCATGTTCATTCGATTAGTATATCACAACCTGATAAAGGTTTTTACTTTATGTGACTACGCAGGAGAAAAAATGTAAATGAAGAGTGTGAGCAGAAATTCTTTGTACATTGTGCATCAGTGTAAAATATACAGGAGCTGAACAGGAACCTGGACTGAACAATGATTCAGATTCTTAATCTGATCTGTTTGATGTAGCCTTGCATATCTTACTTCTTCTGCACAATGTTTTAGATTTCATTTTCCAGTTTTTCCTTTTTAAGGCAGCTGAGATACTTTTACACTCCTGTTGCATGTCCTGTAGCTGGTACCAGGAACTCACTAAGGACAAAAAGCAAGCTGACTTCATACAGGAGGGCATACTAACATTTTCTGGCACCAAAAACATTTGAAATAGTGTAATATGTGTCGTAAAACATACTGA